TCAGTGTATTCGCGAGTCTCTACCGTTAAAGCAAAAGAGCGCAGTCAGTTGATACCCAGTCGCAATATTGCGTCGTTGTTCCTCGGCTACACGTTAATTCAAACCTAGACCTAACGTAGCTTCAATAGCCCGACCCCACTTTCATCTCGGACTTTCATCTGACACACTTCAGAAACGCATCACGTATCACGAAAGAAAAAGAAGTTGAAAATACCTTGATCAATTTTGTTGGTTGCATTATTCGATTTATGGGTGCAAGATAGGCTTTTAATATTTAATATTGTACATAATGTCAACAGAATATTTAATTTATGTTAAACGCTATTTAAGCATCTTTGTGAGAAGGAAATTTGCTGTAAAATATATATATGTTTCCGAGTTTCTTAAAAAATATAATTGATTAATAATATTTTATACACGCTTATATTATTGAAACTGATATATGCACGTAATTATATATATTATAAAGAAATACAATATATGGGTTTATTTTACATATGTCTACTACTCTACATATTTTATACAATACCGAGTTGATACATTTTCGCCAATCTGGAATTCGATTTTCAATGATTAATACGATTATTTGAACAATTAAAGATCGATGATCCGCGCAAACATACATGCGCTAAATTGTGTTTTGTGGACAACGAGAGCCTCATAAATTTGATATTATAGAACGCTGCAGATTGTCAATTACAACGCCCACTTTTTTTGCGCATCGAGTCAGCCGTGCCGATCGGGGATCGTTAAAATTTACGAGGCATGTAATTACAACTGATCTGATCTCGAGGGACCCAACGTCCCCCGTATGACATAGCTTGTCTTTCTCTGTTATTTGGTTTTATCGACATCACTTTCGGTCCCCAATCATAGGGCTCCAGAAATATGGTTGGCATACAGATAAGCCGTCCGAAAAATTCAAGACAGCCTCCTCTAGACCGTTCCCATCATCGTATGCGAAAACATCTCCTCCCTGCTTTGCGTTTCTTTATTACACCGCGATAGGACATGTAACCCTATTTCTTTCTTTGTCGCGCGAGGGATGCTGCGTCGCGAGAAAGGCATTCGGATGCACATAGCGGGATGCAAATTACAACCGAACTGCAACGCGTCCGAATATCCGACGTTTTGCGGTGCACCGGATACGCATTTCGCGCATTCTCTGGGTTACCAGTTGGTGACCACTATTGTGCGCCGCTATTGTACGCCGCTATTGTGCGCCGCTCGTCCCATGCTCTAGCGCTCGTTAGCAGAAACTTTTACTCTCGCCCCGCATCTCGTTATATTCAACGTTCAATCGTCCGATTCATTGTCTCGGCGCGGCCGCGAATTAGGATGAAATAGAAATTAGCCTGCCATTATAGGCGTGTGCGCGCGATCGTGCGAAGGGAGAGCTCGCTTTTAATTAGTTATCCGAAAGTCGGAAACTCCGCGGGAAAAGCCGCGTTTATCTGGGAGCCGCTGCGCTCGTCGCGCGATTAAGAATGCGCGCGAGGGGAAACGCGCCGATTCGAGGTGAATCCGCGGCAGATATTTGGGTTAATGACTCTTTCCGTCTTACTTCGCCTTCCTTCTTTCTTCCGTTCCGTAGCGTCGGGCTCGACTAGCTTTTACTAGCAGCGACGTCGTCGGGAGAGAGAAGAGAGGAGAGAGGTCAGGGGCGAGACACATTCATTATCTTCGCGCGCGTAGGATTGTACACGAGTTACTGCTGGCGCTAATCATTACGGCCGGAAATAAAGCACCACGGGCAGAGATATAAATAGAATTAAATAAATAGACAAAGTTTCGCTTTTACATTTATCGATCTCCGAGGCAGCGGTTAGAAGAGGGAGACTAGGGAAGCGGAAATCCTTATTTTGGATAGAGTTCTTTGCTAACTCTTCTCTTGTAGTTCAATTTTTGCTGAAATAATGAAATTTAATGACCCGCTTCAGATGGCAGACGGATGATGAAAATTTACGTACTGCAATACATAACTTCGTTATCATCCTGTTGTATATGTATAATATAATTTTTTTTTTAATGCTGCAGTGGAAGAAATTCGAATACCCGCAGATGGCAGCGCGAAGAGGATTTCGATTTTGAAGAATTTCCCTTAATTTCTCGCGCGTTCTTCGCGAGAACCGTTAGCCGTTAAGCGCGGTGGGCTTCCTACATCAGCTTATTATTAGCTATACGCCCTACGCGAGGCATCCGAGAACCGGCGATTATTAAAATCTCTCTCCTCCCTCCCCTGTCCCGAGACGTGTTATTACATTTCGATGCCGATCGATTCTCGCCGAGTCGGATATGCTCTCTTAGGCGAATAATTAACCGCACGAGCGGTTTAGCCCTTGCGACTTGCGGAGGCAAAGTGGGTACACCCTTGAAAAACGTAACGTAACGTAACGTCACTTTGCGATGTTTTTCTTTTCATTCTGCGCGTCCTTTCGCGTGCGTCGTCGTTGCGGCTGGAGTCTCCGTCTCTCACGAGTGCAAGAAACAAATTAACGGCTCCGTCCGACTTTTATGCAGGCGGATCGAAAACGCATAGAAGCCGGCCGTAGCCGACGTTGCAGAACTTCCGCCTGGTGCTCCGTTCATACGTATGCGCCACTTTCGCGTGGGGAAAAACGTTTACGGGAAAATTATAGCGCTGGCGAACACGCCGGCGTGCACTTCTAGAGAGGCCGTAATTCCCGTCCTTCTTGCCCGCGAAGAACGGCCGCGTAGAGACGGGACGCTCCTCGGGAGAATATTCGGTGGACGTTCGGGCGCGGACACGCTTCGGTAAATAATTTAATATCCTCGTAGGAGCGCCGCCGCCGCCGCCGCCCTTGACACCGGAGTTTCGCCCCGTGAGCACGGACAATATCCGCCTTGAACTCTTCCTCCTGCGGTCTGTCTGCTAGGGAGGTAGTAGGGACACGTGTTGCAGATTTGGCCATTCTTAAAAGTGTTCATTCAGCAAATTTTCTTATACACGGCCAGCCTCGTAAGAATAATATATCGTACCTTTTAGTCGAACAGCTGAAGCTGTGCAATTCGAACTCTCGCTCGGCGTGCTTCCATGAAATCCATTCTCGCAATCACCGTGCGAATTCTAAGCAGACGTTTAGTTATGTCTTACATTTTTTCTAGAAACTCTGTTATTATCGTTTTTATAGTCTGGATTTTAATGATTTTAATTCCTCGTGTGATGAAGTCGACTTCGATAGATAGATTTTCAGCGCGCGATAAGAAATACCGGTTTATCTGGATTGTAGAGCTGTCTGCTTTCGCGTTAATTTACGGTAATGCGAACTGAAGGCGGTCTGTAGTTTTCACTGTAACTGCCTTCTATTAAAGTCTTTAAATACAATCTATGTTAACTAAATGGAAAATAGAAATTGCGTGCCGTATGCAAATATTTGGGAGATAGATTTATTTCAAGGCGAGACAATTAAGCTTCGGCTAAAAATTCAAAGACATTAAAAGCACATTTTTTTATATAACATAATTATATAGTGTGAACATTGATATGTGAACAATCTCTTTGTATTGCGTGATATTTTGATACAATATTGGGCAAACGTATTATAAAATTAATTTATCGCACGGACAATTTAAATGAGAGTGTTTTGCATGTTATTAATATCTCAAGATCCCGTTAAAGATTCAAATAACGTGGTCAGAAACTGCTTTTCGGTCGCGATGCGTTTACGTTCGACTTACCCGTTCGCGTTATCAATTTCAATCCGGGAATTGCCTCATAAGTATTCATAATTGCCCGACACCGAGGCACTGGTTGCATCAACACCAGGAGGGCCCCTTATACGCGCGCTATAATAATAATCCACGCGGAAATAATTGCGGAACGCGCATTCGGGGACGAGTGTCGCCGTATAATTCTAATGGCGACGATTTTAACGCTGACCCACTTCGCTTCCTGTTTTCCGCGAGCGAGTGTCGAGCACTCCGTGTTCAACCGTACATACGCATTTAATTGCTACTAGGAATACCTCCTGGGAATCTTCCTCATATACGCGAGGCAGTAAAACAGTACCGGAAGGAATCAACAGCTACTCACGGTCGACCTTCTCTGCCGATCGTGTGGACAGATTTCGCGCGATACAAATACAAAAGGTTACGGTACCGTATATAAGACCGCAGGCGTGAGATATTATTAAAACACGACACCCCTCTTATACCGTCAATACGCTATTGAAAGACAGACTATTGCATTTACCGTGATATCTTCTATCTAGTTATCTGCATAGATTATCAATCCTGGAAAGTAGATTAGATTGTATCTCGCGGTAGAAAATTTCTGCTATCAAAGAAAAGAATTAAACGGAAAGAACTAGAGGGAAGGAAAAATACTTTTAGCACTAAATCCTTCTGCAATTTCGACGAACAGTGTTAAGAAAATGGGTCTTTTAAAATGGCATTTGTTTATGAGTTAACAAAAAAGCAAAAGGAAATCACGAATGTTCAGAGCTAGGGCCCACGAATCAAGTCCAAAATTCACGTACGTTTTAAATGTCAAGTTGTACGAATGGATTTCACGAATTCGCTTGATCCTGAACTTCTACCGTTGGACGTTTCACGTCTAACTAAGCTGTGAAAAAAAGCGATGGCATATAGTATCAGAAGCGATGTCAGAGCCCGTCACGGACGCTGACTGGGGCGATGTGATTCGAGTACGCGGCCGTAGGAAGTAGGATGGTCGCCGGAAGTCCTCCCCCGAAACATATGGTGGGGTGTTCTGTCTCTCTCTCTATCTCTATCTCTATCTCTCTCTGTAAAGACACATACTCGTTTGTGCTCTCCCGTTTCCTGCGGCTCGCCAGCGAAAAGAGCATGGCAGCAGTTTACAAGCGGCGGCCGGCACTTATGCACGTCGCAATCGCGGCCTGCCAGCTCTCGTGATAAGCTCCCGTTCCCCTATCGCGATAAAGCCTCCGCGACCGGATTACGGGGGAGGTCCATGTAACTCGCGCTCGCGAGAGTTGCACGGTCAGTTTTACAAAGTCCGGGGCGTTATACAATTAGCAGCGTTATGTAATTACGTAATTCCGTTACGCTATTACGCAATTGGTTCCGTATCGTTATAGGGATCGTACGATCGCCTCGCGAGGTGGTATACGTGGTCGTGGACAATTCAGTCGATTCGTGCGGGGCTAACTCCGGGATTCAGAATCGAGTCTCAGCCTCTCGAGTCTCGAGATCGCTCGCGAGGATCGCGGGGGACAATGGGGGACAATGGCGAGTGCGGGGACCGTCTCCGAGCGTAATTTCTATATTTGCGGCCGCATGCACGCGAACGCGTATATATATATATATTTTTACAGGCGCAGCGAAGCTCCTTTTCCCGTGATATCATAGTTACGCGCGACGGAACAAAAGATAGAGCGGCGGGCGGGGAACGCGCACACGTAGCACACGTATGTACGCGCATACGCATACGCACGCACACGCACGCACGGTGAAGGTAGGAAAGTGATACGGATATCTCTTCTTTTCCCCGACTCTGTGCGGTGCACCGCGAGGGAGGCGCGCACGTTTCACCTGTGCATCGCATCGGCACAGGAAGCTCGTAGACACGTCGTCGTCTCAGTCGCGTGTTTACATTGAGAGCAGTACGATGAGTGTCGTACTAATGCAGCGGAAAAAAAGTAACATCTTAATTATACGGTTCGTTCGCCGATGCAGTTTCTTCTGCAGCCGCTCGTGTTAATCCGCGATAATCTTCGCCCCTTTTTGTCCGTAATGTGTTATTGATAGTAATTGAAGGAAAATCGAAGCTTCCCCCCGTGTGCCGTCGGTGTCGCGGAGTAATCGATCGTTCATAGATCTAATTAAGATCTGCTGATTCGTTCGGTCGATGAGACATCTTCGTCGCTGTGTCAGAAAGAAATTTTCGACGAATCAGCGAGGAAATTTCGTGGCGTGAAACTGGAGCAATGAACGTTATCGTGGCAGGAAACCGCGAGAAACCGACATCCTACGATCCCGCGAGGAAAAGTTGCGATGAATTCTAATGACTCGCTCGCGAAAGCCAGTTGAGCGAAATAAAAGTAATCGTGATAGGCGAAAATTCACGGTACTGCAGCGAAATATAAATCTGTGATGTACTCTGCAATTCTATATACGATACAATCGAACGAGCTCGCGTTTTAGAAACCTGATGTCGCGTTTGTAAACATTACGGATTAATGCGAGCTGTTTTGAATAACAGTGCGAACGAGGCGCGACTGCAACAGTGAAACGTGTACAATTAAACCGGGAATTAATTCGGGATACTATCGACGGGGAAACCGGATCTTTTGGTCACGCTTTCACATTTTTCGCATCCGCGCTACAGATAAGCGCGAAGGTTCCGCCTTGCCGAGGCTGATTAGAGACCGCAACATCCTAGAATGACATGCCGTCCACGAGACGAGCCCAGTGCACCGAGGACTGCAGGTGCGTGTTGTGCCGCGAGTTGAAAGGCTGCAAGATGAGCGCCAACGGCGTCGAGGTTCAGCAGAAGATCGGCCACGAAGGGGCGAATTTTATTCTGCGCCGAGCCGTACCCTTCCTGCCGAAGCCTCCGGCGCGAGAGGAGTGGCGGGAAGTCGCGAGGCACGACGATTACGAGAGGAGCTCGACCTTGGAGGACCGAAGTCGCCGCGGCGGAAACGACGGTCGTGATCTTAAACCGTGGACGCCGAGCAACGACATCGCGAAACCAGGGAGGGACACAAGTCACAAGACGGTCATCTACTTCGGGGACTCGAATCCGAGACCGAAAGAGGACAAAGCGAGGCAGCAACAGCTGCAGCAGCCCCCGCCTCTGCCTCCGTCGCCGCCGGCACCGCCGCCACCGCCGTTACCGGAAGCGTGCGTGCAGGTGACATCGAGACGCAACGAGGATTCCGAGACGTCGTTGCACCCGCGGAACGATGAGACGGAGGCTCGTCCGCGGGACGCGTCGGAGCGGGAAGAGGACGCGGGACGACGAGATTCCGCGATGGAGAACGGCGATCCCAAGGCCGCGCACGAGATCGTGGTGAACGTCAGCCCCAGCAGGGAGGACGTGCTGAGGATAGAGGAGGACGAAACCCAGCTGGAGGACTATTGGTCCTTGCCGGGGGATACGAGCGGGTTCAAGGCGGATTGGAGTTTCGTGCAGCAGTGGCGACTGAGGGGGTAAATTCACGCACACACTCGTACGCACGCGTGCACGCGCTTGTCGTTGACGAGAGGAAGAAAAATGGATGATGCTCTGCCCTTCGGCGAATCGGGATTCCTCCCTGCGCGCGTCATGCGTGTTCTCTTTCGTATTAAACTTGATACCTCTTGTCGTTTCCGCGGGTCGTTTGCCGTTCGAAATCACGCATGTTATAATGAGGAAGATTGATTGACTTAGACCGACGCGCAGACGTCTCGTTTTTGAGAGACAAACATTCTATTAGAAATGAAATAATTTTAATAACGAATCATCTATTATGATTTTTGATATGCAATTTCTGAATATTAAATTATAAAATTTAATGATTTATAAAACAATCTTGATTTAGCAGAATGTATTTACTATTTATTTTTCTGTAGAATATACATGAAGAAATTTGTTCAGAATGTATTTTCTTTTCCATACGAAAAAGACGTGGTTGTAATAACACTTGATTAAATCGTTGTTAAATTATTTTACGATTTCTTGATGAAACAAGACGGACGGTATTGAGACGATATATGTAAAATCGATTTGCATGTTAAGACTCGCAGATGATAAAGGTATAGCGAAATTTCAAGCGACTGCAGCCGATTCCCGGCTACAGTCGCGAGATAAGGTAATGGAATCATGCGCCCGTACATTTATCTCGCGAGACGGACGGACGCGTATCTAAACATGTCACCGATTTTGCGCACTCACGAGGAACGTTCGCCACTCTGTAATTCATGATTCACAAGCGACCCGGGCAGCATCGCCAGTCGCGGAGAGCTCGCGTTTGAATATCTTATCTCTCTCCGCGTTCATTTAATTTTCCTCCGCGTGACTGACGGATGCGCGCGCTCGAATAAAACGTTGATCGCGCGCTGTATCGAATCGATATCGTGTAATGGGACGTGCGTGTAAATCGTCGTGTTGAGCCGCCTCGAATCAGCATTACGTATCGCGATTACGAGTTGTTTTAAGACTCCTCTAGCCGCGCGCTCGCTCGCTGATTTATTCCCCGACCGCGACGTACAAACGATCCGTTCTTCGCGCTCTCCAAGGAAATCCAGATGATGCACCGCTAATGCTCGGATTCCAACAGTGATGCCTCTCAAAGTGCATAATAAGTGCATTCGAGTTGAATGCCTCGCGGGCCGTGCGTGTGCGTGTACGTGCGCTTTTTTTTTCGTCCCTTTTGCTTTCTTAGAATTCCTCCTTCTTAAAATAGACCTTAAAAATGTATATCGGATCAATACCCTTTGTAAACGAACAAACGATTGATATACCTGAGATACGTAATAATACAATGATATGCGTGCAATTATGCAAAATCTATTTTACATATCGCGTTATGCATGCCTATCTACTGAAATCTTTGAGATACAATCGCGAAGTCTGTTTTTATAAACTACGATCAAATCAATGCAGGAGAAAGAGGTTGGAGAAAGATAATAATTCTGTCTAATGATGAAACTTTGATAAACAGTACGTTAAATACGATTATTACTTCTTGTACATGAATAATAATATATTTTTAAGGCAACTTCCTTATTGCCGAACCGAGTCTAATTTTATGTGATAACGTGTCGTTTGGATAATCGCGTTAGTGTGTTTCGCAAGAAATCGTGGTTAAAAAGTGAGGAGCGAATTAAAATGCCCCGGTCTCCGCATATTGCGCACTTTTCGCGTAATACGTGTATACCATAACCGGGAATTGATTTAGCCCGATACGCTACCTGCGTTGCTGCATTTTCTGTCTCGGTATCTCCCGCGATACCGAGCGCGCGCGCGGTTTGCGCAACTCCTAATGTCGGATTTGAAAGTTGTCGAAGCTAAATCCTCGGCGTCGATATCGGCCAACAATGGTCGCGCAATTGAATATAATAGCGTTCATAAGGATTGCGAAACGCAATCGACGTATCATAGCTGCTTATTTCAGCGGAACCTTAATTGAGCGGACGCGTTATTAGTATAAATAATTTTAGGATCGTGATGCCGACGGTTCGTTTCGTTTCCAACAGAATGCTCGGCGCGTGTTTTGTTTCGATTCTTTTCACTGCACTTTCTCTCTGAAACATATTTATACCACAGGGAAGTTAAAGATTGACAAAATACCAGATGTTCCATACTTCCTAAAAATTAATTAATCTAAAAATTATCTGACGGAACGTGAGCGATTCAAGGTCCACGTGGCCACGTGGCTTTGTTTAACTTTTAACGCGTTTTAGCGCATTCATGGCCGAGACTCGCAGCCGCCGCAAGCTATAATGAATTTTTTCGCGAGGGTGCCACATATATCAGCAGCTCCGTGTCGCTGGCATTCCAGGGTGGAGAAACCTTTCCTAAAGAGTCTTACGGTCATTACAACGGTTTTACAAGTGACGCTAGTCTCATTAGGGCAACGCGAACGCAGTTCCGTTTATCCGTTTCTTCATGGATGTTATGCGACTCTTATCTCCTGAGTGCGTCTCCAGAGCTAGAAATCGGACGTCGCAGTTAGCTGCGAAGATTACGACTTTTCGAGAGCGTAACTTCCACGAGACGAGTGCCTCCGCGGAATGCACCTGTCCAGACTCCGTATTATATGTTTGCTTCTTCACGCGGGGGGAGGGAGGTCCGATAAGACGGCGCAAGCGAGCCGCTAGAGTTATCCCTGCGATAATTAAGGCGCCGACCTATCCTACGGAATATCGGGTATCATTTCTCGGTCGTTCAGGTAGAGAAACCCGTCTACTATAAGCGAGATTTTAAAGCACGTCGCCACGAGTTGCCGCGAGCGTATTCTTTCATATACCGCGGTCGAAATCTTCTCATAATAAAAATCTAGACAGCTTCTTTTCAAAATTTTCCAGTTTTTGTTTCAGTAATTAAGTCTGACATTCTAAAAATAAGCTTTGTCAAATGAAGCGAATAAAAAAACCCATGTCATTTATTTTTACTCTTAAGAGTGAGAATAATTAATATAAGGGACGATATAAATAAGAGGGAGTAAATTATTCGTCGAAAACCAAGATAAAAATTTTTTTACAGACCGGGCGGTGGAAATAGCCGCGAGATATATTGCCCTTCTTACTCTAAGGATTTCACCGAGAATTCCCCCAAAAGCGGGGTCCACGATATGGTCCATATGATACCGGAAAGAGATACGGACAGCGTGGCACCGACACCGACCCCGCAGCACCCCCGTCACTCCCAGCATCATCATCTCAGTTTACACGAACTCCGTGCGCTTCAGGTATATAGAAATATGTCAGCTTATCTACAACGGGGTATATTTAATTCCACGGGTATATATTTAATTTTTAGTGTTTCTTTGATATCTTATCAATATTTTAAATACATGTTGAAAATCGCGAAGAATTAGAGTTGAAAAATTCTGCGATTTTTGCAGAGGCGGCCGGAATGCACCGGCAACAGCTCCTCCGATGAGAATCGATCATCGGGACACGCGAGCATGTCGGATACTGGTGGCCACACGAGCAGTAGTTCACCGCCGCATCGTCATCATAGAGCCCACAGTCCTCAGCAATTGAACGCCGTGCCCGAAGACGATCGACTCTCGGCCTCGGTCACCCAAAGGAATGGCAGGAGTCGATCCGGACAGAACCGCAATCGGCACCGAGCTACTCCCGCTAAGGTTTCGCATGATCCAAATTTTATAGAGCCGTCTCTATATTTTAATTAAAGCTAAACTGAGATTTGACGAATGATTTTCTGTTCTTTCTCTGTCACGTCTTTAGAAACTTAATTAAACGATTAAATTATAAATATTCTAGTACATATCAATCAGTATTAATTTTTGTTTTTATAAGATTTAATTATGCTATTACATCTCAATTAAAATCAAGATGTATTTTTGGCTTGTGAAGTTTTGTATTATTTTATTTCTCGAAACCATTTCCAGCATTTCATTTCGCTTGCAGCTACAGGTACCATGGTCGGGTTCTGGTTTGGAGGATATAAAACTGGCGATCCAACAGCTGACGATGCGCTCGCACAAATCTTCGTCCACATACTCTTCATTGAGCGGCTCGGAGAGCTCGGAACCCGCAGTTAGGAGGCTGATGCGACACTCCAGCCTGGAGACGATTAACACCAATGTGACCAGTGCCGATGAGTTCGTCTGGGTAGACTCTCACAATCGTTTGGTGGAACTGCAGCAGCTACCGTGGACTCACCACGATGTGCTACGTGTACTTCAGAACGGTCGCACGAGAGAGCACATGGAGCAAGTCTCGATGGAGACGATTCCGCGGCTTTCCTATCTCCTGCAACGCGCGCTAGTCAGGATCGGCCGCGAGACTCAGAGATTAGCGAAGCCCATAGGTCTCTGCAGTAAGCACGAGGTGTACAGCGCCTTCAAGATCGTACTCTGCCCAGCTCTGGCGGATTCTTGCACCAAGGTACGCGTAGAATTACATCTGCAGTTACATGATATCAAATAATAATATCCTGCAGTTAATACCCTGATAACTAGAGTAATCTATTCTAATAATAGCTGATGATAATCCAATCGCGATAGACGCACTTAACACTAAACATAGTCATTTGAGTCCGCCTTGTTTAAAGGCTTGCCTTCGAGCTGCCGCGATGTTCGCTGTATCTGGCGATCAGCTGAAACAATCGAAGGCATCCCGTTCGGGGCTACAATTGCCAGTCGGACGTTTCTTACGTTGGATGTCCGACGTGAGACTCGGGCGGATGATTCACGAGTATGCCGCGATATATCTGACGGCCGGGATCGAGAATCTTCTGGAGGAGATACTGCTACAATGCGTGCCGACCGAACCGCATACGACCCTCACGGCGACAATGCTGGAGCACGCTATAGCCAATAGCGGCGACTTATGGGGCCTGTTACAGCCATACGCGCATCTCAATGCCGGTCGAACGGCATCGGGTCTGTAATCTTATTTTTTATTAAGAAAAGAATCATTCAATACCAGCTAACTCTCAATTACATATATGTTAATAGATTTATCCGATTTCAATCATTTTTGGAATTTTGATTTCGATTTTATCTCCAATTATTAATTTTTTTTTAATTATAGAATGATTGTGATTTGATGGAAGACTGATAGAATATATGACTAAGAAATTTTATTTCTATTTAAAGATGCTTATGCGATGTTTATTAATTTACGCTAATCTTACATGCTGAATCGAAGTATCTTCTACTATTTCAGGCGCTCTCGCGATGCCTCGTTGGGCAAGTGTAAGTTCCTTGAACTCGTCATCGTCGTCGCGCAGTGGGCGGGATGTAGCTCAGTCAGCTTTGGAACCGTCGTTGCTTACGACTTGCGTGGGATCGATGTCGGAATTGATCGATTTGATTTCCAAGGTAGCGCAAGCAGGACGCTGCCCCATACCATTGACAATGAGGGCGTTACATGCCCTATTTTATTACATGAGGTGCTCGCAGGTATGGAATTTATCTTTGACACTTGAATGAAGGTGGTGCATTAATTTTTCGGCAAATAATAATAATTATTATTAAGTTGTATATTACAAAACGTATTGTTTTTAAAGTCGTTTTAAACCATATTTTGTGTCATTGACCTGATCAAAATATTTCAGCTGGAGCACGGTGAACGTGGATCTGGAATACAGGAATTAGCTTACGAACGAGCTTACGTAGTGCTACCACCTTTAGTAGAATGGTTGCGAGTAGCTGCAGCGCACACCGAGCACAGACACGGTCTGGTCATGGATCAAGATGACATTAATCAAGCTGCCCGACTATTGTTGCCTGGTGTAGATTGTCCCGTTCGACCAATAAGGTAAGGCATTTCATCAAATATAATTTCAGATTTAAATATTCAAATTTATTTTAATTTTGCGATAATCTTTACACCCTGAGATTTCTAACACTCTGTAAGACTTGTTAAAATTTGCAATATTATATACGTAGCTCCGAGGAGATCGCAGTGTGTTCAAAGCGCATCGACGATGCCGAATACGTTCGGTTGCTGACGTTGGATATGGCCTTCAAGATGTTGACTAGCGGGCGGACGGATCTCATAGCCCAGGCAATGTCGTTGCTGCCTTCAACGAAAATCAACACGGTGAATGACGCCGGATTCACGGCTCTGATGCTAGCGTGCGTGAACGGTGATGAATCAGCTGTGATGGCTTTACTGGATGCCGGGGCAGACTTGAACATCGAAAGCCCGCCACCCACGACGAGCTCGTCCTCGAATACACCTTCCAAGATCCCACAAACGTCCGGTATATCGAACGTTAGAAGCCCGATCAATCAGTCGGCGATGATAACGCCCAATAAAACGATGCCGAACGCGAACGTAGCGTCTAATAGTCCTAACGGTCCTGGCGGAGCTATTCCTAGTGGCATATGTTACGCGCAGACCGCCTTCAATGCGGAGACGCAACACTGGACCGCTTTGACTTACACGGCTCTATTGGGTCACTGCAATATCGCCAGAATATTGTTGGAGAGAGGTGCCGCGGTGGAAGGCGGCGCGAAACTCAGCGAGGATAAGTGCACGGTTACGCCTCTGCAAGCAGCCACAGGGTCGGGAAACAACGAGATGGTAGCTCTGCTCCTGGCACACGGAGCGCAGCCGTTTCTGTCCACTCTAATCAAGGACTCGTTTTCCTACTCAGGTTCCGTGCAACGTGGTTGTTACAGGTAATTTAGCATTAACACTTTGCTACTTAATTATTTTGTTGAATAGATTGCGATTTATTAAAAAAATTACTGTAAAACCTAGTCTACAACATCAAGGTATCAAAATAGATGTCAGATCGCAATGCATTGAGATTAACAAAAATTAATTTTTAATTTTATATTAATTTAAATAGCGCAATATCGGTGGCAACGGCGCATGGCCAGAGAAGCTGTCTTCATCAACTGCTATCGCATCCACTCAACTTCTCAGCCAAGCGAGGAGAAAAAGAGATATTATCTTTGGAAGAGATATTAGCGGAAGGTAACGCCGGTAATTCTCAACAGCAAACTGCCGAAGGAAGAGGAGCTCGCAGAGAAGGCAAGGAACCGGTATTTAATAAGATACAAACGAAGGCGTTACAAGAAGCGATGTATCATAGCGCGGAAAGCAATCATTTAGGTAAGAAAATAATGGACCTCTTAAGCGTATAAATTATGCATAAAATAGAATATTAAGATTTCTGTTTTATATTATAATTATATTACGTAATCACGATTTATTATGATTAACAGATATTACCATGGAACTTCGCGGGTTAAAAGTAGGCTGGACATTACACTGTTGGATGCACAGTCTCGCAACAGCTCACGAAATGCGATTGGACTCGGTTATAGATCAATTACTTCAAGACTTTCTCCAAGTCTGCCCAGACGATTATTCCACGCAGTTCGTGCAGGAATGTTTGCCACTTTTATTCAATATTTTTAGATATAGTAAGGTAAATTACATAATTTACAAATATCATTTGTTTCAAGATTGTTTATAAAATAAACCGCTATAAATAAAATAATGTGGTTTACTAAAGAAAATTGCACTAATGCTATTTATGTAAGATATGTTTGTATCATTTCCAGAAGGAAGGCACGACGCTCTTGCTCGCTGATATATTTTGCACATGTTTCGGATGGGAGCCGATCAAACCGATTAGAGATACTACGCTTTCGAGCGGATCAAGAATCGATCCGAAATTTGTGAATAATCCAGAATTAAGCGATGTGCAATTTAGAGTTGAAGGTCGTGTTTTCTATGGTCATAAAATTGTACTCGTAACATCTTCTCCAAGATTTAGGAATATGTTAAGCTCCAAACTATGTGAAGGCAATCCGCCTATTGTGCAAATTAATGACATAAGATATCACATATTCCAGGTATGCAATTGTTATTAATTTATACATATGTTACATGCGATATTATCCCCTAGAGAGTTGTTCAGTAATATTTTAATAATTTTATGTGTTCGAAATAATAAAGATTTATTAAAGACAAGCTGAGCTGATCATCCTTAGAAAAGTATTTCAATTTTCAGATGGTTATGGAATTTCTTTATCACGGTGGTTGCGCCACTTTGGAAGTTAATCAAAGTGATGTCCTGGAATTAATGGCAGCGGCTAATTTCTTTCAACTTGATGGCTTGCTCAGATACTGTGAGGCACAATGTTCCACGATGGTGGATCTTGACAATATTGTTTCTATGTACATTCACGCAAAGGTATATTTTTCTAACAACACATTCTTATTCTAATTGCATATTTTAGATTATCGTTTAATAAACGATCATATATTTCAATTTACAGGTCTATAACGCGGCACAGCTCCTAGAATATTGTCAAGGGTTTTTGTTACAAAATATGGTAGCTCTTCTGACGTATGATGATTCAGTCAAGCGTTTATTGTTCGCGAAAAAGTTACCGAATCACGACGTTCTCGCAGGCCTACTGCTCACCTTGCAATCACGAATAAAAGCCAGGCGATCTCAACAACAAAACAAAATAAAAGCTTAGATATACGCAGACTTGCGTTATAAAACACCGAGTTGTATAAAAGCTACATAAAAATAATAAGAATCTTGTACGACTTCTATTTTAGAAGATACTGAGATTAATTTTCTATATATTGAGACTGTTACTGATATAAAACTGGATATTATCTCATTTTTAAAGGATATGTATAAGTCTTGTTGCATTGCAATATTTTTAACGTAATTTTAAATTGTTAGGAGAACGTATTTATATATGTACATTGTATATTAAATTAGAATGTTATAGAGCACAATGTGCTGTAGTTACAAGTTACGAAGAATACGAAGATAGTTTTTCTTCTACGAGACTCGCTTTTCGCAAAATATTCCCCTGTAAATAAGATTGTATTAATATAAGAAAATTTTACACAGATATTAATTTTCCACATATGTTATAGAAATGGATTTTTATCTATTATTAAATATGAACTTTCTAATGGCAAAAGTTCTGATCACTCGTATGTATATATCTTACTATAGAGATAAGTTTTTATACTACAATGTAACAAAAAATCTATTATTAGACATAAAGATTAATAAAATACTTAAACCTTTGATATGATTTATCTATTAGCGATTTGGAAAATCAATAAAAGTGGATATCTCGGATTCGTATGTATATTTCCTTACACACATTTCATTTATGCTTTTCCATAATACAATGCCGCAGATTGGGCATTTTTAAATGTATTTTTATATTTTTGAATACAAATCAATATGTTATATAATCCATATCATATACAGGGTATAAAAAAACTTTTATTTGCAAAGAACAAAACATAATTTAATGCCTAATATTAATTTAGCACATACAAATCAACAACGATAATAAAGCTATTATACTTGATATTAAGCGTTCGTATCGATATCAATATCATAGCACTATTTATTTAAATGATGTTAATAATTAGTTGTATATACAATATTCAGATTATAATCTTAATAATTATACGTTGGATTTTTAAGATCCGGAATGCCTAATAATCATATCAGAATCGAGTAATCGTAGGAAAATGGCTGTCTCAATCAAATATTTTTTGTGTCTGACAATATATAATTTTAAATATAGGTGACATTTCTTTAATGATATAATTATAAAAAAGCATTGATATTTAATAATCTATGGCGCAATAATATCCCAAATCTTAAAGAAAATTGAAAAGATACGTATATTAATACTTTGTATATATTTAAGTTACAATATTTCCTAAAAATCAATTTCTCTATCTCCCATGAAAAACTTAATATTAAAATACATTTTAAAATGTATTTTTGTTATTCATGAAAATTATTTCATATACATATAATATGTATGAAATAATACAAAATCATTATTTGCAAGTTAAATTAGCACACCTTCATTATCTATATTTTACGGGAATTTTCCAATCAACTTGGAATTATATTTATTATACAGGATAAAAATACGAGTTTGAATGTATAACAAAGTATACAAATAATTTGACGTTGCTATTCAGAAAATGCATAATTTAATTTTTATGCATTAATTAAGTCAATTAATACAATTTTATTACAAGAGTTTCCATAAGGAGTACTCTTCTAGTTGATTATTATGAGAGTCAATTATAGTGCTAATTATAATGATCACAAATTTTTATCTATCTAATTTGGCTTTATTTGCATTATAGCAAGTTATTGATTACGATTAGTACTCAAATGTGTAATAATATTAATTTATTCCGATTGATAATTTAGACCAATATATGAAAATAATATTTAATACAAATACGATTAAAATACATGTATGCAAAATTTTGTATTAGTTTGATTAAAATTGTATGTATGTCTTATTAATACCATTTCTTCATGTGGCGACAATAAATAGATAACATTTTATTTGCGCAGCTTTGTGTTCATTGACATGCGAAACATACGTCTTCTTCTGCCTATCTATAAATTTGTTTACAAATTTTTATACAGAATATAAATTTTTACGCATTGATCTAGATAGATTTTGCTAAGGAAACGCATCAGTCAAGTTGATATACTATAGTTCCAACACGTATGTTTTCAAACTATAAACTGATATTAATAAATATTATTTCTGTTATTGACACGAATATTTGTATCATCATTGGGTAGTTGAAAGCTATTGAAGCATGACATATTTTTAAAGTTTTTTTACGCGTAATATTAAAGCAATACTCGTGAGAAATAAATACGATTTTTAGTTTTTAGAACACAAAATCCTTCATACTCAAATAATATATGAAAAATTAATATCATTTGAAGTAACTATTGTATATTATAAGATAGGCATGTGTGAGAAATGATAAAGGCAGTATTAGCCTTTACTGATGCTCCAATATTTTATTCGGTAATAATTGAGCTAGAGTGTAAAACATAATAAAAAAGCCTATAAAAATCCATATTTTACACATGAAAATATTAAATACTGTTTTATAAAATTTCAAAATGGCTAACATCTCCAAAAACACAGGAGACAATTCCATTCGTAAGCAGATATAAAATAAGTCTCTATACTCTCCTCGTTACATCTCCAATATATAGAAACGGGCAAAACGAGATGGTCCTTGAAGAAACTACTTTCAAATAACATATGAAATAGATTGAGACAACCCTTTTCGTTCATCAGTGAGACCCGCGTAGAGGCTAGGGTCGCTAACTTAATTTAATGACTAGAATAACAGTTAATACAATGGCAACTATAATCGCAAGTAACAACAAGATATAAACTTTCCGACGAAATTTACTTTGGTAATTACTTCCCTTCTCCAGTTCCTGCGCACCTAGCTCGACATTGCCGTGTATATTCTCTATATGGTTGTCAATTGTATCTGTAAAAAAATCATTAGGTTCCATGTGTGTGTGCTTCCATGTAGCACGTGTATTTTATAACAAGGCAAATATCAATAGATTGGAAAATTGCGTTTTTACATTTTGCATCATTTTCATTACATTTACATTATAAAAAAAATTTAAAGCTGTTACGATTATCAGCACTGAAAAGGAGGATGCTTACCAATAGTATCACCTTGCTGATGCACCAGTGCTGCGAGTTCGCGCATAATTTGATTCACATCCAAAATATCGCCCTCAATACGTTTTATCCTATCCTCTCTCTCTAAGAGTAGCCCGTGTTGAAATTCGAGTGTCCTGTGCATGCCATAATATACATTGATCACACATCGTTTCTAATATCTCTGACTTTGTCATTATTTTTTTTTTCTCACAAGATACATTGAAACTGACTTACCATACATATTTTATAACTTCTCTTATATTAATAATACATGTTGCGTAATTAATTAATCTTTTCACTGAAATTTTAAGTTTAGTCTATCTTTTTTTTTGTCACGGGCATGCTACAAAAAATCCACAAGTTCTATCGCTATGTATTTGATCCAGAAAATCTTACAATCTCCATTAGCCGATACAATCACGATAGCTTCTATGCTTACAGCATTGTCCAAAATGCAACCAACGAAAACCATTGTTATTGTTCCAACTAAGCAAATAGGTAAGATTTTCTGCATTACTTATGAACGCACAAGTACTCCATTGCTTTGTGTGAAATGCAAAAAGGTGTTGTTTCCAAACCTTTGCGTGGACCTGCTCTCTTGTTCCTGTGTTAGAAGTAGGCGGTGTGTCTCTTCAGCATCCTCCCCGTCCATTGAATTTTCTATATTAGTCATAGCTAAAATATGTTTCTTCATCTTCTCAGCAATTGACTGTAAGGAACAACATAATTACCATTAATATCAAACAAAACGATGTTTTATAATTAAGATCTTTTTGTAATCGAAACTACTTGAATATTTTAAGACATGTCTCGCACACCTTCTGCATATCGGAATATCTCTGCAACGCATCTTTAAAGTCTGTCGTGAGTTTTTCGATTTGTAATTTTTGCTGCTTCTCGCCACGTCTCATCAGCACCGTCAATCTCGCTATGTCCTTGCTTATCTGCGTGACCACCTGATTGGTACTCGTTTGCGTTACATGTCTGAAAGACACAAGCATACGAATATTTAAATTGAACACATTCTCAAATTTTTCAGCCTTCATATTTCTATTATTATAATTATTGTATTCCTGACAGTACTTACACTTTGTCTCTTAAAACTTGATTATCCTTACTGGTTCCAATGTTTTTGTAAGCTCTTTCCAAAGTTTTCCAACTTGCGTTAATCATATATATGTTAGTGGTAATATTTTCACAGAGACTATAAAGTTCAGTAGGACTAAATCCTATTTCAGGTACATCCACCCGTTGATCCGTAGACCCATAGTTCTGAGGACGCTGAGCCATTCTGTAAAAAAAAAATAAAATCCCATTTAGTTTTTGCGTACAATCTTAAATAACTACATAACTACGTATATACAGAGAGTTTTACATATCCTTAAATATAGCAATTTTATAAAATGTTTTTAAACTACAGCATGTGTAGCAGTAAAAGCACTCTATCATTAATATTAAAATACTGTTATCTTTTATGAAAATAAGAGGAATTACAAAATCTAGGATAAATAAAAAAGACTAAAAATCACGCAAAAAATATAATATAGTTTCTTAAAGATTAAACATGTATTTATATCAAATAATATAATTATTCAACAACAATTTTGTTACCATATATCAATGTCTTTATAATGTAACTTCTCGTACGTTACTGCATGAATATCTAATCCACAGAATTGTATCAGTTGCATGAATACGAAATGTGTTTACGTACAAACTACTTTGCTAATGATTTGCACAGTCATTACTCAGAAAAAAAAAATCTCGCTCTTCTTGTCTGTGTGTTCCAAACATTTGATATTGTAAAAGTTTGCTAAGAATTCTTGCCAGCGCAGAATTTACGCAGCACGTGGTACGAACGAGTGGCAGAATAAAAGTAAAGAGTAAAAATTATCTTTGGAGGAGGTCGTCGCTCGTTTCTCGCGACATTTAAACGCTCGCGAAACTATCGCGGCACGGTCGCTCGGAGCTAAATCTGCGAGAGACGCTCCTCGCGCAACGGGACACCCGCATGCACGGTGCATGGGACTTAGCGGGGAACGGGGTTTAGCAAATCTCTATGAAAAAAACACCTAGTCTATAAAGGGGGTTAAATTAGCGAGCGAGGACAAAGGCAGCCGCGAGGGAGGGCTCCCCGTCGGATGATCCGTCGCGACGCGACCGTTACTAACCTGAATCCGCGTATCACAAGTGTCCTTAAACGTATAAACGTAGATCGCCCCGTAGAATCACATTTAAAAACGCAACGAAAATATCTACCTGCGGCCGAGACCCTCGAGAAACTGACAGTTGCCCGACAACGATCTGGCGCACCGGCCGTGTGACAACAGACCCTTTGTACTCCCGTCCGTGAGCGCAGCGCAGGGATCTGCTCTCCCGGCGCGTGCCCGATCTCTTTTTTTTCCCCTCTCCCGTCGCGCAGTTCCCGAGACGGATTGACGGGGAGCGAGGCGCGATCGGCCCGTCGACCGGGGGTCTTGAAATTTCTCTCGCGATCGTCGTTCCCCGGTCGACTCTCGTCCCGGCGACGAGGTTTTCGCTCGGTTCGATTTCCGTCGGTGAAAATTACGCGCACCGCCGGGCTCAAGTCGAGGTGGAGAGACGGCCGACTTCCGGTCGTCGATCCTTCGCGAGTCGAATCGCGGACGAAATCTCGATCCTCGATCGAGGATCGTTTTCGACACGTCGCCACGGTGGACCGGACGGACCGCACGCGGCTCTCCCGGGCGATTCTCGTCTCGCGAGGAAAACCGACGGGCGTTCCGTTCGCGACGACTCGCGTAGTGGCGTCTAGCGCACCGTCCATTGGTATCATCACCGCCGAGATCAAGGGCGGATCCGCGAGGCGAGGACGTTCGTGGGTTTTCGTCGACGCGAGTGCGTGGAGTCCGCGCGGAATAACAACGCGAGAATTTATCCGATCGGCCGGCGCGACGATCGCGCGTCGCCCGTCTCGTCGCGAACGCAGTCGCGTGCCGAACGCTGGCTTGACCAGTCATCGTCTCGCGGAAGTTGCCGAGCGCGACCGACAGATTGCGAAAGCGGAGAGCCGTGAGAGCCTCAGAAACAACAACGGTCGGGCCGTAAGTAAACGCTATTGTGATCTCTCTTGGCTTTGCGCGGCGAATTTGCGGACGCGGAGCGGCGTGGACGCGGCGAAACGCGTGCGGGACGAACGGGCGAGCGCGGGCGCGCGCGATTCCGCGTCGCGGACGGCCGCGCGGCCACGTTTCGCGGTGCCGCGGCGGCCGCGAGGAATCTTCTCGAGTCCCCGAGAGCCGAGCCGAGTCGTCTCGTCTCTCTCGCTCGGGGGGGCCGCGAGACCCCGTGGCGGCCGCCGTAGGTCGGCGCGTCATGTCGGCCAGCGGAGAGAAGGGCTCTCTCTCGTTCTCTCTCTCTCTTTCTCTTCGGTCGCCCGCCCGTACGTTTCCGTTCCGCCGCGAGGGTCCTCTTTTTCCCAAAAACGAGGAGAAAAAGAGATACTCGCGGCGAAGCGTCTCGCGACTCGCCGTCGCCCACGCAACTCCCACGTTTGACACTTTGGTTTCGGTGTGCGGTGGGGCGAGGGGGGGAGGAGGGGTCTCGGCTGTCGCGGAGTGAGAAGCTGAAAAGACGAAGCGGTTTCTGGTGCTGAGTTTTGCCGTCGCCCGACGCCGACGGGAGCCACGAGGAGGCCGACGCGGAGACGTAGGATCGGGGCGTTTCTCTCTTTGTCGTTCTCGCGACAGGGACGCTCGACTCTCTCGAGGCTGGGAGCGTGCACCGGGAGCGAGAAGAGGGCCTTCTCCGCCGCCCTTCTCGTCGCGCGTGCCCTCTCCGGCTCCGGCCTCGACGAATTCCGGAATTAGTACATGTCTTCGACGCCACGCTTCTCTCCTCGGGGAGACGACGCTCGCGCCTCCTCCGTCGGCCTCGTCGCTCGTCGCGCGACGTTCCCGTTAGGCGGATCCGTCCGTCGCGAATATTCCACGGCGCGCGGCGTGCGCCGAGATATTCACGTGTACGTGCTATCGAGATTCGTTATCGCGGGTTTCCCGGGATCTCTCGGTGTAGATAAACTCGCTTCAGACCGACCAGCGGACTTCTCGACAGCCCTCCCTCCCCCCCCTCCCCCTCCTCCTCCTTCCCTCCGCGGCAGCGCACGTCTGTATCGTTAACCCCGGAATACCGACAATCTCCTAGAAAGCTGAACGAAACGTGGAAACTCGTTTTTCGACAAGTGTGTGTTTTTAAATCGACGGAAAAAATCTTCAGGTAGTGGCGATTTAATCCCAACTCGGGAAAAATTCGAAAGAAAGATATTTGAAAGGACGCGTGCCGATCCAAAATATTGGAGCACGTGCTTCGATAATGTGTCGTCTCGCATCATTTGCTTCCCGTACATTGTCGGTATTCCACGTTCCGTTCCATTAACCGCGACGCGACAGTTTCCACAATCTTTTTATACGTGTGCGCGCGCGTAGGATTTAATATATAAAGAAATTCTGGAAATTCTGCCGTTAACAAAATGGCATTGCTTTCTACGTGGCTGGAGAAAAGGGAGTACGTATTCGGATTTAATAACTACGTTTCCCCCCGCCCCCCTCCCTCTCGACCCTCGCCCCCAGGGGTATACGCGAAGGGGTTAAGGCTCGGAATATGGCGAGCGAGCGAGCGAGCGAATCCTCGCCATTACGCGTCGTTTCCAAGGGAGGGAGAGAGAAGGAGAGCAGATCGCGTCGTTCTCTCTCTCTCTCTCTCTGTCTCCGTCTCTCTCCCTCCGGAAGTTGTGCCTTCTCGGAAATGCAACGGGCACTCCTTCGTCCGCGTCGAGCGGACGGGCCACTCCAAGGGGCCTGGGGCACGTGTGTGTTAACTCCTCGTCGATCGATGCCGACTCTAATCGAGTCGAGTCGCGCGGAGTGCCACATGCACGCCCGACCGACTTTTTGTCGAGGCACGAGGGCAGGCCGTGTGACGCTCGTCACGCTTCTGACGTTTTCCAAGGGAAGGCTTCGACCGATAGGCGATTTTATTAGCTCTCCCCGGTCATGCGCCCTCGAATATACCCTGTATACGCGAGGTATACGTAAAAAGATACTTATCGCGCACTATTGCGCGGGGGTGTATAGGCAGAGGGGGGAGGAGAAAGTTAAGAACGGGAAACATTTCGTGTATCTTCCAGCAACGCTTTTTCATTGTTGCTCGTCACGTGGCGAGGCGCGCCTGGGCTATTTTTAAGTTTGACGCGCGCGCTTCGCTTCGCGGATCTAATAATCGAGTTGCTCGTATAAGATCTAATCGAGATCTATTAATGTATCGTCCCTCCCTCGTGCGTCGGTGGTGGCTTGACAGCTCCGATTCGCGGTAATTTTGCGCCGCGCGTGAAAAGTCTCGAGACGGTTTTCCTCGCGAGAAGACGGCCTCTCTCGTCTCCTTCGCTTTGATTCGGAAGGAATCGATGGTTTCGTCAACGGTCAAGACAATCCAGACGATCGGGTTCGAACGGTATATACCATCTATTAACGCAACGGACAGACCGAGACAGTCCCTCCTTTTGCGACGATAATTTAGAATTCGTAACTTCGCCGAGAGAAGCGAAGCGTCTGCAAGGGAGTCGGATGCTCTAAGTGTTCGCGGGAGAATTCCAGGAATGCCGGCACGAAACACCTGGTTGAAAAACCCGTTCTGTTCCATTAAACGCGTGCCTCTCGTGTGCCGTCGCGTCGCGTTGCGTCGGCTAGGTCGCCGCATATCCGCCTTTAAACGGCCGCGGCGGCCGTGTCGGCGCACACCGAGCACACCGTTGTCGGCCCTCTTTTGTTGCACGGCAGACTTGAAAACGCTTATCGGACTATGAATAGACGCTCCGAATAGATTTTCCTTCAGCCGCTCGTTCCGCGAGGCCGTATATCTAGTCTACGCTCGCGTTACGCGCATCAATGAACGCCGACGTTTTGCGACTTGAATTTTTCTTACGCTCCCCCCCGTCTTGGTCCTCGTGAAAAAAATCGACTCTCGTCAGGCCGCCTCGGTGAACGAAATTACCTCTTCGCTCTGGGATTTTCTTTACGTGCCTCTTCTCGCCCGATGCGTTTATAAATCTATTTTCGACACGACGATGTCGTCATGTCGCGAAGCAGACCTTTACAATTATACCAACTTATAATCTTTTCGTCCTAGGAGAAACGTTGGATGTTTCAGGCGGATATTCATAGTCGGATCTTATATTTAAGACCGTCTTACGCACAATCTTAAGACGTCGTTAATCACAGAGCCGTATTAGCATCTTAAGATATTGCTTAAGACGGTCTTGAAATAAAATCTGACTATGAATACCGGCCTTAGAGGTGTAAAGAATATTCTTATTAATTGTCCATGAATCGATAAATACGTTCGTGTTGCACATTTATTCGGCACAATGAAGCGCAAGCATGCTTCTTGTTATTCTACATCAGATTTCAGATCCTTCTCAGATAATTCTCAGACGTGGATTTTTCTTTCCATTCAATCAGGAGCAGCTGAAACGAATGCCTTGCGAATCCTGTCAGATGTAGGGACGCTCTTGCGACAACGTTATCGACGTTATATATATGTATATTTGGATGACTCAATTCCCGGGTGTTCTCGTGTACACACGAGGCGCAAGATAAAGACGCTTATCAACGTTATCACGCTTTTTCTTCTCCGTCTACTCGACCAGCCACTCGGTCAACTTTGCATGCGCTCCAACGACAGAAACGTTAATTATCACGTACTAAAATTTGTATACTCTTTTCCTTAGAAAGACGCGAGGTTGCGCAGAAGCAGTCATCTGCTTTTATTCTTCTATTTCTATTTAATATTCTTTTAAACATTTCTAGATTAAACATATGAGCCAAGATCCTGCGTTCTTGAGGAAAGCCGTAAAATGTTTTCTCCCTTGTAGCTGTAATAACCAAATTCGTTATTCGTTATTCAGTTAAGAAACATGTCAACGTACTCCCTTCTCTCCCTTCCATTATCTCTTATTGAAAAAGTTACAAGAACAACTGTGCCGTTAGCTTTATCCTCGCGTTAGTTTCGGAGACAATGCACGTAATTTCCCTCGCTTATCTCTTCTATCAAAATGCTTGGATGAATAACTCGCTGCTTATCTATTTATTAGTTTCGAAATTACTTTCATCGACGAGTTACGTGAGTCACTCGCCCGTCTTTTTTCATTATTCCTTCCTGGAAAAATATGAGCGAGCGACTCGCTGCTCGTTTCCTGTAAAGAAACCAGAATTCGAAGTCTAATCGCCGAACTCTAATTCGCTCGTCTCTCTCTCTCTCTCTCTTTCTTCGCATACGAATTTCTCGCCTTTAGTTTTTCCACTTGATTTTTTCCAGTCAAAGGAGGATTTCTACTTGCACCTGCTCGACCTGCTTCCGGCGGTGATTTCGTCAGCAGCGACTACAAGTCCGCTCGCCTCCGCTATTCTTTTTATTATTCCCCGTTCCCCATTATGCTTTCTTAAAATGGGTATAGGCCATTTATATTGCCATTTGATTCGCCTCCTCTAGCCTTTCGAGTCTTCATAGTTGGCAGGTCTGTGTAGAGAACAGTCGTCACGGCACTCACGGCGCATCAGTGACGTGTCGCGAGGAAACGGAAAGTAATGGTCCGCTCGGCGGGGTGAGGAGGATGTGGAAGTTTTGCTCGCTCGCTCGCTCGTCCGCTCGCTCGCGTTTTGCCCGCTTGCCTTGCGTCACTCCGTCGCTATCTCTTTGTGCGCCGTCGTCATCCACCTTGTGCATGACGATTTCTCTCAAGGAGACCACGCGTCGGCGTGTCGCTTCGTCGGTCGCCCGACGGCGCGCGGCCGATCGCGCAAAACAAAGCCGCGGTATATTTCCGTCGTTTTTTCTTTATCTTTCGCGAGAAGTCGACTACTCTTGGATTCCCGAAGTTTGTCAGACGAAAAAAAAACGATTGAAAAAAAAAGGCAAATACGCACGACGACGAACGTCGATCTTCCGTCGCGCGTTACGTTCATTTAATTTGCAAATCATTCGCGAACCAAACGGCTGTCCACGGGGCAGCTTTAGAATTAATTTATCCGGTTATTTATTTGTCCTCCCAGTTGTGTGATTTTTGTCGTATTATTACGGATCAACAAATATTATACATTAAATTTATTATCATATCGTCCGTTATTTATTAACGTCGAGTAATACCGAAGCGAATAGATATATATCCATCCCCTTTCATGTCCCTTTTATACGTCCGTATTTCGAGGATATAAAATCGGGCTTTCTCGTATTCGCCGGTGGTATTAATAATTTGCGAATTCAGTTTCATCCGATTAATTCCGTTATTTCATTCGGCGATGTTATTTCACTTGACAGAGAGCAAATTAATTCGCCGAAGCCCGGCGCGCAAACATCGAAACAGGAAAGTCCGCATTCGCGAAATTACCGAACGATTATTCATTGGCGTTGGAAATATCGCGATGATAGAGTGTCTTTCTTTGTTCTAAAGCGCAACATGTTCACGCGTATATAACGTGACTAAAAAATTGAGCATTTTTGCCGATATTAACAACGCGAAAGAACATCGTTTTGACGTCCGTAAAAAGAATCATTTGTTTCGGAGACCGTGGTCTTAAATCTTTCGTCCCTCGTTGAAATTATTAATTGTCACTGTTTGTCCAGCATTTTTTATCATTTGTTATCGCGGGTTTATCATTTATTGCGATGTTAATGCGGTTTCTGCGTTCCAACGGCGTGATCTTCTCGGCCATTGACAATCGCGGAATCGTTACCACGGTCGACAATAGCGGTTGCCTAAAGAAACGAAGTTAACGCGGCGGCTGGGTGTATCTCGGGGATATCTTTTTTTTTTGGACTAGCTAAATAACGGGTAACGCCAATCCGGGTCGTAAATATGCGCTCCGGAATCGGTATTCGCCAAGAGCTGTACGAGGGACGAAGGCTGCATCCTCTCGCCGTACACACGCGCCTTTTATTTAATTATCTTACGAATTCCGACACGTGTGTGCTCCTGTAATCCTGACCTCGCGGATTGCACGGCGATCCCAGCTGCAGCTCTCGCGTGGAATTTTTTTTCTCTCTCTCTCTCTCTCTGTCTCTCTCTTTCTCTCTTTCCACGTGTCGCCGTGTCGGTTAATCGTTTCTGCGCGTCGCGATTTAACGCGCGAGACGTGCTTATGAAGCAGATGCAAATGAATACCGCCTGCAAAAGCTCGAAGGTCGATCGTTTTTCGCAGCGCGATCCCGAGCCGGCACGTGGTCTCGCGGATTTTCGATAACTCTCTCGACCGGCTGCGTGGCCGAGACCGGCCGGGCTGAAAATTCGGACGGAATATCACCCTGCGTACGCGTCACGTGGCGGGTGCGTGAACATCCCGGCGAGTCCGTCGTTTCAAAGTTCGGCGACGCAAAGTCCGAAGACGCGAGACGCGCAATTTTGCCGTGTCACGATTGACGAGTATCTAGTATTTTCGACGTTTCTGGATTTGGGGCAACCTTCTGTCAGTTTTGCATATCCCGCGTTCGGAAATTTACTCCGACGCGTTTCAGCAGGTTGATTTCTTCTTTTTTCTCTTCCCCTCTTTCTCTTTCTCTCATTCTCTCGCTCTCTTTCGCGGTATTCAAGCTCGCGCTGCTCGGATGCGTCCGTGAGAGACCGGATATTTTCATTGCGCATTTAGCCAGGCTGTACGTACGGCCGTCAAGTCGAAACCAAATGTTTAGAGAATGCTATTTTCGTAAAAGCCAGCCTTGCGTTCTCGTTATACGTTTTATCGCTAAACGCGGCCGTCAATTTCTCTCTCGTTAGGCACGAACAGCGAGCGCTGTTTCTCAAAGTCACACAGTGTCAAAGTCTGCGCGTCAATTTACGCCCGACGATCTCGTGATTCGACGAAAACCTATAGTCGGACAAGAATTATTGACTGAATTATTAGCGCGCGATTCTCGCGAGGACGTGAATTGTTCTCCCAAGTAATATCAGTTTGCAACTGCGATTTATTCGCCCCTCGTGTCCTTCTCCCAAATAGGTTTTTCTTTGTTAATTACAAGGTACCCTTTGTGTCGCTCAAGCCAGCCACTTTTTGTCGATCGTTCTAATCGAGCGCTTTCGGGACACCCGGTAGAGGCGTCCGGACGGGCACGACCTCCGTCGAGCAGCCCGACGAAGTCGTCCGACCTCGGCCGAACGACGGCGGGGTCCGCGAGATGATCGGTCGAGGTGAAACGGGAGGGGGTTAGGAGAAGAGGGTTCATTGACCGTCTGACCATGAGCCGCGCCCCACATACGCTCCTCTTCGGCGTTCCCCCTCGCCCTATGGGTTTCGATCGTTTTGTTCTCTGGGCGGGCAAGCAGGCAAGCAGACAGGCAGGCAGGCAGGCAGGCAGGCAGGCAGGCGAGCAAGATCAAAGCCGTCTTCTTCCCCGGGGAAAGAAGGTCCTTGCCTCGTCCGCGTGGAAGGCCTTCCGAAGGCTACAGGGTGTCCCGAAACCACCGACGCATTCCTCTCGACCGCGGATGAGCGAGAGATGCTTTTTTTCCTTGGCGAAAGTCTCGATTCCGAGGAGAAGTTGTCGGTCTAATCTGAAGCTCGATCTAATCTACAGTTTGAAAATCATTTTTCTTTTAATTTTTTTACAATCTGACTTGAAAGGATGTTGCGCAACAACTGGTCGTTTGATTCACGAAACATTAACGTCCCGCGTCTGATGATTCTATCCTTGAACCACTTGGTCCGAGTGCGTTAACCGTATAGGACTCGCGTGCGCCATTTATCGAACGCGCGAGTAGAAGCTTCTCTAAAATTGCGCTCGCATGCGCAATTACGATTGTAAACGGCACATATAGGTCACGGTAGCGATGAAAGGAATGTCCTCGAATATTATTGAACGAGTTCATTGCAACGGCACGTCGCCGTTGGCCGAAGCGATAGACCGCGTTTGCGATCGCGCTTATCTCTTTTAGCGGGGGAAAAGAGGAGAAGAGGACTTCGCGCGGACGAGAGGGCTGCGTACGCTTACGTTTAAAACTGCGTGCATTTCAAGCTGATTCAAATGTTGAAATTTTCGAGACACGCGAATTAAATTGCCAGGCGTGAAATATAATATTGTGTACTTGAGATAAGTTACAAATAAGTAATACTTTGA